ATCGGTTGATATTGGAATCTTTGTCGCTTTTTGCGACAGAATTCGACGTCAGAAGCACTAACGTATTTTTTTTTCACATCAGTCCTATAAATAATATTCTTTGAGCTGGCCTGTGCAATGCGCCGCTCAGAGGGAAGGTCATTGCAGGACTTGCCTTCAAAAATCCCGGGCAGCCCAGCTTCAAGAGCATCCCGCCCGGTTTGCTTGGCTACGCGCGCTTCCACCCGTTGATCTTAATAACACCAACCAAAATTTAGGATAAAATTTTAGAAATCCTAAAATGTCAAAAAAAATTGAGATAGTCCCTGTCCTCCAAGACCAACGCATCGCCACTGCGTGCTATCGTCAAATTTTGTTAGTCCTGTCTCTCCTAGCTATTCCTATTGCTCTTGTTGGCCAGCCTGATTCCAAATGTAGCCGTTTGGTTGAGTCGTAGAAACGTTGCGGTAAACTGGGATCGCCGCAAACGAAAAGATGACGGACAAAAAGTTTCGCAGTCCAGCTTCTGCATGTTAGACTTCTCTATCTCCATTTTCTTTGCAACTTCAGTTGAAGCTAGAGCACGCTTATCCACTGTGTGTGTTGGCAAGACGTGGTAATTTTTTTTGTGTGGTTCAGAGGTCCTCTATTTTAGACGTGGTAATCTATCAATATATGATAGGAAACCAGTGCCCAGAAGTATATCGAAGTGTTTATACTCGGAATACCTCATAGAGGTATGGACAATCCACAACGGACGAGTATCATACGAAATATGAACAAGGTGATTTCTGTCTTTGACGACGCCCGATTTGCACACAAGTAAGCCTACGCTGCGGATATTTAGACGTTATTTATACACTGTTTTCCAGTTGAGCAAATGCAACTCATTCGATATAGGATATAAATGAAAACTGGAGTAGTCGATGTCTCTGCAGCATAGCAGTGAAGATTTTAATAATGCCATCAAATATTCGATCAAATAGAATATTGGACAGACTAAAATAGCTAGGCTTTATATATAAAAAAAACTGGTATCCAGTTCTTCGATTCACCACAGCTATGATGGTTACACAGCAAACCGATGTTAGAGTAACCCCGTATTAACTTCGGGCTGAATTAGCATTACGCCAATTTCTGTTGAAGAATGTTACCGCCACACATTAAATCATTGACTCAACTCTAAAAAAATGCATTTGCATAAGGCG